AGTAAGCATTTGCGGTATAGTTGATTTTGCCCAGGGGCAAACGCCCAGACGCCTCCCTAAATGCCCCAGTCCTGCTCGCATAGCAGTGGTTAGCTGAACTTCGCACCGTGGCCTTGCTCCCAACTGAGAAGAAGCAGCAGCAGCGCAAAGAGGGGAGCCGCCATGTCACTGCCACCTCCTCCAGGGGCCTAACTGGCCCCCTCCTTTCCCGCCATCTCCTTCACCTCGCCTTAGCCTCAGGAGGAGAAAGCGCTGCTGCCAAGAGACATGGTCCGCTGGGAGGAGGAGAAGGAGGGCAGCGGCCGCTTCCTTCTCCTGAGGCAAAGGCGAGGCGGAGGAGGTGGCGGGGAAGGAGGTGGCTGGTTAGGCCCTTGGAGGAGGTGGCGGCAACATGGCGGCTCCCCTCTTTGTGCTGCTGCTGATGGTGCTACTTCTTCCTCCTTCTTCGCCTCCTCCTCGCCGCTGCCGCCAGTACCTTCCTCGCCACCCTCAGTGCACCTCCCTTTGCTCCTGCTGTTTCTCTCCCTCTCCAGCTTCTGCTCGGCAAGGAGAAGGCAGTGATGGCAGGGAAAGGAGGGGAATATATTCCCCTTCCTTCCTTGCTATCGCTACCTTTTTCCTCCCAAGCAAGTCCAAAATACCTGGAGGGCCAAAATTTGTCCATACCTATATATATGTTTTCTTTTTCCTTGCAATATATCTCAGTGATTGGTTGGGGGGGGGCACCAAAATAGTTTTTGCTTGCCATTGAAAATTACCTAGGGCCACCTCTGCAACATGGGAGATACAACTGTTGTATTATGGGTTATAGAGTAACATACAGGGTTTAGGGACAGACCATTTGTCCAACCATTTGTCAGGAGGAATCAAAGAAATGGAGAAAGTCATAAAAGATTGTGTTTACATCTAAGACGGGTGAGAACTTAGAAACTGACTGCAGTTTGATCTTCTTCCATTGGGAGAGGAATTGTATACGCTTAGGTTTGCATGGTGAAAGCTTCCCTTTGACATTTGGGTCAATAAAACCCAGCCAGATAGTCCTCAAGCAAAAGCAGGCAGACTTGCCAAGAGAGTCACAACAGCTCCTTTATTTTGTCTTAATCACAGAGAGATTTAAGGGCAAATCTTCCAGTCCTTTCTCATCCTTTTAATCTCCCCTCGCCCCCACCCTTCATGCATACCTCCTTTACAATTTAGTCACCTTACAATTTACTCAGCAGGGGGTGCTTTGGATGCGATTTTCTTGTTTTGTGTCGGAGTTTGGACTGGGTGGCCCATGAGGTCTCTTCCAACTGTATGATTCCGATTCTATGAAAGTCTCTCGGCTCACATATCTCTCTGTTGAAATCAGGGTGTATGTTTTATTTTCCCTAAGGGTGTTTCCCTTTTCCCCACACTTTTACACTGACCCTCTTGTGAAAGATAAGCCTGCAAACAAAGAACTAGGATGCTTGATCAATGAAACATTGAAAAGGCTGGATGTGAGGGCTTTTGAATGGCAGGACCTTTTATAAATCTAATTCCATAACTTTTACTGATCTCCAGTGAGTTAATGGAAATCTCTGAGAGTTGGATATCATTAAACAGTGGTTGGGTACCTATCTGTAGGGATCCTTTAGCTATGGATTCTTGCATCAACAAGGGATTGGTTCTAGTCCTGTGATTCCATAAATAGAAAGCAAAGGACCATCCAATGCTTCAGACTTGCTCTCTGTGCATAGCCAGGAAGTGGCCAACTGTGTGCCCCCAAAGATAAGAGGGACTCTCATTTCATTTGCTCTGGACTCTTCACATGATCTTGTGAATTCGCTAAATAATTTGTAATCCTTGTGATCTACAAACAATGTGTTGTCCTCCATCTCTTTTACATGCATGTGCGTGTGGAATCTGTCAGCTTTTCCATTCATATCCTTTGCCTATAAGGGTGAATGGTGGGAGCTTAAAACAAACCAGATGGAGCTCCTATCTTCCATTAGATTCAAAACTGAATTAAATTGTACTTATAAAACATAGTGTTAAGCCATCTACTGGAGATAAAATAAAGTCTGCCGTCAAAATTAATTTAGCGTGGAGGGAGGGTTATTGTCCCTCCCGCAAACAGAGCATGAGTTCTGCAGTACCGTTCAGTGACATCTGTTCCCATGATGGTTTCTGTTGATTGAAGAGTTTTGTTGGTATTTTTATAAGTTCATAATTCTTCACCACTGCAAAGGCTCCAGCATGGTTATAATAAGCAGAATAGTATTTCTATTCATAGCTTTGAAAATGATTTCTTTTTAAATGAATGCAAAAACCCCAGACACATTAATCCATGCCTTGCTTCTGTTTTTCTGCTGTGTTGTTGCTAATTGGCAAGATCTTGTCATATTTTGAGGGATAGTGTATTCATCCACCCATATTTCTATCCAGAAATCATGAGCTCTCTCTTAGCACAAGTTCAGCCACTGGAGTGACTGAGAGACAGAAAGCGGACCACTGAAATTGCCCAATCCCTTTGCCAGTAGATTTACAGGTAGTAAGAGTCCAACAAGTGTGGGGCATGCCAAGGTCTGCATAAACGCAGTAGGGGTTTGCAATAGAAGACTAGCAAAGGGAAGTGCTGTGTTAAATTGTTCAGTGGGTTCAAATGACAGGAAAGGAGATTCTACCTGAACATTAGGAAAAACTTCCTGATCGTAAGAGCTGTTCAACAGTGGAACCCATGCCTCATTGTGTGTTGGAAGCTCCTTCTTTGGAGGCTTTTAAACAGAGGCTGGTTAGTCATCTGTTGGGGGTCCTTTGATTGTGCTTTTCCTGCATGGCAGGGGGTTGGACTAGATGGTGCATGTGGTCTCTTCCAACTCCATAAGGGAAACCAAATAATGTAATTAATGTTTCTCCTGGTGTTTTCCCCTAAACTGAAGCTTATTCATTCATAGGAATAGGTATAGGAAGAGAAATAGGAATAGGTAAAGGTATAGGTAAAGGTAAAGGTTTTCCCCTGACATTAAGTCCAGTCATGTCCAGCTCTGGGGGTTGGTACTCATCTCCATTTCTAAGCCGAAGAGCTGGCATTGTCCATATGTTATGTGGCTAGCATGACTGCATGGAGCGCCATTACCTTCCCGCCAGAGTGGTACCTATTGATCTACTCACATTTACATGTTTTTGAACTGCTAGGTTGGCAAAAGCTGGGGCTAACAGTGGGAGCTCACGTCACTCCCCAGATTTGAACCTTCGACCATTCAATCAGCGGTTTAACCCACTGCGCCACCAGGGGTTCCATATATACACACACATATATAGTGAAAATAAGTTTGTATGTTCTGAGATAGCTCCTAGGTGGCTTGATGGATTGAAAGCGGATGATGGGAGTTGTAGTCCACCCACATCCAGAGAGCCCCCATAAGATGTTATAAATGGACCCGTTATATGGTTATTCATTTATTCATATAGTTAAAATATGAATGACAAGTTTTCATGAAATATGCTGTGTTCCCATACATTTTGTTATTACAATTTATGCATGTGTCTGTATCTCTTATAAGGGCTTGGTTTAACCTCTGGTTTGTTTTTAAGTCACCAGCCATCCCCTCTCCAATGCCAGAGATACAGCTTAATGGTGTAACATTAGAAAATGTTGATCATTTCCGCTACCTTGGCAGCCACCTCTCCACCAAAGTCAACATCGACGCCGAAATACAACACCGCCTGAGCTCCGCAAGTGCAGCATTTTCCAGAATGAAGCAGAGAGTGTTTGAGGACCGGGACATCCGTAGGGATACCAAGGTGCTTGTTTATAAAGCTATTGTCCTCCCCAACCCTGCTATATGCCTGTGAGACGTGGACTGTCTACAGACGTCACATGCAACTCCTGGAACGATTCCATCAGCGCTGCCTCCGGAAAATCCTGCAAATCTCTTGGGAAGACAAGCGGACAAATGTCAGTGTGCTGGAAGAAGCAAAGACCAGCAACATTGAAGCAATGGTCCTCCACCATCAACTCTGCTGGACGGGCCACGTTGTCTGGATGCCTGACCACCGTCTCCCAAAGCAGTTGCTCTACTCCGAACTTAAGAACGGAAAACGGAATGTTGGTGGAAAGGAAAAGAGATTGAAAGATGGGCTCAAAGCCAACCTTAAAAACTCTGGCATAGACACTGAGAACTGGGAAGCCCTGGCCCTTGAGCGCTCCAGCTGGAGGTCAGCTGTGACCAGCAGTGCTGCAGAATTTGAAGAGGCACGAATGGAGGGTGAAAGAGAGAAACATGCCAAGAGGAAGGCGCGTCAAGCCAACCCCAACCGGGACCGCCTTCCACCTGGAAACCAATGCCCTCACTGCAGAAGAAGATGCAGAGCAAGAATAGGGCTCCACAGCCACATACGGACCCACAGGGAAACCCATGATGGAAGACCATCTTACCCGTCCAACGAGGGATCGCCTAAGTAAGTAAGTAAGTAAGTAATGTAAACTTTAATTTATAGGTCATATGTTATAATCTGGTTTTTATATGTGGGTTTAATTTGGTATTTGTCAGTTTATTTCAATATATGTTGGTTTGCTGTGGGTTTTAGTTTTGTTTTATAATCTGTATTGGTTATTCACTGTTGTCTCAAGCATTGAATATTTGCCTTCTTGTTGCCTGAATCCACTCTGAGTCCCTTCAGGGAGGTAGGGCGGAATACAAATAAAGTTGTTGTTGTTGTTGTTGTTGTTGTTGTTGTTGTTTTACTGGTAAAACTGAATTGCCGTATCGCAACATGAGGCATGTCACCAATATGAAAACTCTGCTCTAGAGGAAGATCAGCTTCACCTTCTGTCTCTTGACCATTTCAGGAACCCACTTCTCTCCATCTTCCAAGACAACAGGTGGCTCATCTGACAGTGTGTGAGTGGGCCGGGAATATGTACTGTAGACTTACATTCATGCAATTATCCCAACATATAACAGTGGAACACAGATCTGACTCTCCGTATTGTTTCTGTGAAATTAAACCGACAATCCACATTTTAAGAAGTACAGGAACATTTTTTTTATTTCCTCACATTAAATGTTTTACAATGTCACTCTATTTTTCCCGAGCCAGAGAGTGCCACTTAGCAATAGTCTGGATATCTGCCTGTCAAAAAAGAAATGAATTAGCTCATATAATTAAAGGCAGGAAACCAAGGCATATATAACTTAAGTGATATACAAATTACATGTTCTTTTAAAAAGTCCTCTTTCTTTGTCTTAATTTACAGCTCTGTTTTTGTACATTTCCAGATTTCTACATAGATATGTTTTTCTCTACATTACCAATAACTGGGTATGATTGATAGCGTGAACATAATGTATAGCTTTTATATGACATGATACAGATTTTTGTCCAATACACTCTGGGAAAGCCTTGGGCAAGATTCTTACAACTTTTAGAGCATCTTACAGTTTACAGTGCAACCCTACACACATTTTCTCAAAAATAAATTCCACTGAATTCAGGACACTGGGCACATGATTTCAGCCCTACTACTAAAACAGATAAATGGAAAACATGGAACACAGGCTGCCCCACACCCACAACCAACACTCTAAAACTCTTCACACAGCCCAAATACTTCAGGCAAAAATCACCTGAAAGACAACTGCTCTTTCACACCTGTAGACTCACACAAGAACGGCAACAATACTCCCATGCCTTAAAATGCCAGCCAGCACTTGGACGACATAAGCAAAAGTGACTTCCGGACCATTTCTGGTGACAAGCAAGTCTACTACAGGGCTGGGGTAACCACCTAACATGATATAGAAACTACAGATTAAGGCTATATAAATAAATGGTACAGTCTGGATTCTATCTAGATAATGGCAGTCTTGGTTGTTAATGGTTCTATGGGACAAAATAGATGCCACTTGGGGACCACAGTTAGGAAGCAACATATGTGTTACTTTATGTGTTTACCAAAGCCTTAGTCTTTTGCACCAATTGGTACCCTAGTGATTGTCATGTAGACAAAAGAAAAGTCCCTCAGGGATACTAACGTGATTATTAAAGTTTGCCCTCTTCATCAAGTGGTGGTCCCCCATAATGAGGGATACCATAAAATTCCCTATTTTCTAGTCAAAAAGAAGAGGAAAAGTTCTAGGTGCATCAACATGAACAGCAATGCTGATCCAGAGTGGGAAATGTTAGATTAGTGTCACCATGATCTGCACAGTGAGATGCTGAGCCAGCTCAAGGGCAAGATGGTGGCTGCATTGCATGCCCCCAAGCTGGCTCAATGGACCATCACCTTGCTTGTCCCCATTGTTCTGGACTTTGGAGTGACCACCAGACACGAAAATGGTGCTGGTCACTGCCTGGCACCTGTAATGACAATAGCCAGAGTGTCAAAACTACCAAAAAAAAAAAAGGAGATGGAGGAAATGAGGGGGGCTCCTTTTCCCTTTCCTTTCTCCAATCACCTTGTGACTTTGGCTAGTGTAACTACAGGAACCAAGCAACAAACATCACAATTTTTGTGCCCAATGGGCACCACAAAACCCGGAATGACACAGCACGGTAGATGCCATCACCTGGCCTTGGACTGGTGGTGTAAACAATTGGGGTTGCTTCCCAAAGAGAAAACAATACAACTTACACTGGCCAAAATGTGGATGAGATCCGGAGCTTCCATGAATCCACAACTTTTGTTAAGGTCGTTCAAGAACAGATCAGGTGGCCTTGGCCCCTATTAACACAAATTACTTCCAATCCATCATGCAGCCTTTGTAGATATAATTCCACACTGCACTTTTTTGGCAGGAAAAGGGTATGTGTAGATCAGTGGTTCCCAACCTATGGTCTGTGGACCACCAGTGGTCCGCAAGAACTAAAATACGGTCCGCAGCCTCACTGTTACAATGCCATTGCAACGAGAGTGACTGGACTCACAAAACCTTCTTATAGTGCCAAATCTTATTAAATATGGTTTTCTGTGGGCGAGCAGATAGCACCTACTGGATGGCATATATTCTGTATCAGAAACTAGAGCTGATGTGGTCTAGCCAATGCAATTTTCTGAATCAGAACCCAAAATAACCAAACCGAATCTAAAGTTAACCAAAAACTGATTTGTAACCCTTTTGGTACTAATGTTGGAGAGCGATCCCTAGTCAAAATGGTTCCTGGTCAAGTGGTCCCTAGTCAAAAAAAGGTTGGGAACCACTGATGTAGATGAACCCTTGGTGACCTGTAAAGGTAACTTCAAATATGAAGTGAGCATTGAGACCCTCAAAGGCCTTCTCTTTGCTTAGATCCATCAACTTTTCTTCTCAGACATCACACACAGCCATTCTTTCTCATAGCTCTAGCTGTAGGGGGCTGGGGAAGGGTAGGAGGGCAAATCCATACTTTGGTTTTGGAGAATGACACACTGAATATACCCTGTTTCACATGGTCAACGTTTTTGTCATCCTTTGCTACTAGATGTTTTGAATTTCAGCTCACCAATTGCCTAGCCAGCATGGTGAGCAGTCAAGAATTATGGTAGTTTAAGTATCAACAATCTGGAGGACAAAAGGTTGAGAAAGGTTGAGATCTATTAATCTTAAAAGAGCCTATAACTGTTGGGAGTTTCCGATTTAGGGACTAAATATCCTGATTTTGGTACTCCTGACAAAAGCTTGGAAATGTGACTGGATTTCCAACTCCCAGAATTCCCATTGGTGGTGTCTAAGCCAGGCATGGGCAAACTTTGGCCTTCCAGATGTTTTGGGCTTCAACTCCCAGTAGGCTGTTAGGAATTGTGGGAGTTGAACTCCAAAACACCCGCAGGGTTGAAGTTTGCTCATGCTTGATCTAAGCTGACCTCGAATTCTGGAGATTGCAATCCTAAAGTCATTTTCTGAATTCTCTATTTGATTATTCTGACAAGCAAATCAATTGTCACAGAATTACAGCATCATGCAACGTGCATCCCAGAACAATGTGACAGATTTCCATTTGAACCTAGATTTGTCCTGCTGCAAACTTTCTTAACAAATGGGTCGTATGACAAAATCATGATGATGGGGAAAATTTCTCTGAGTTATAACTTTTCCAGTTTGTTGCAATCTATTCAGAACATAATATTTCTGTTGCGCCACACGCTGTTGCCAGGCTTTGTTACAATGGAGCTAGTGTTTAACATAATCCTTTGGGTGCACATTACACGATGATGTATGTGATTATAATATAAACATCTTTCAAAAATAAAACATACTCAGAATATTTTGTTCTCATTCGGTGTTCTGTACATCTCGAATATATAATTTCATTAACTGTGAGCTCCATTCGTCAACCCATATGGCTGATAGGAATCTTTATTGTGCATAGCCTCAACACAATAATATTGTTATGCTGGAAGTGTGCATGCATGCATCACCTCCGTGTCTGTGGCATTTGGAAACAAACCCGGAATTGAATTGGTCACATGGTGTTGTACTTCCAAAGCTCCCCCCTCCCCACCCAAAGAAAACCTTCAAGAAATCATTTCACAGTGCTTCATGTTACATTCAACAGTAATAAATAAATACATTTCCGATTTCTAGGATTTCAATATTCTCAAAGTGTGGCCATTTTCACTACTTAAATAATTAACCACTCCTAAAAAGCACCTTTATGGGCTTGTTCCTAGGAAAGGGTAATACAACATCTACTGGAGAGCAAAGCAATTTATATGCAATTTTAATCTAGAAACTGTGCCACACTTTAGATGTCTTTTGATCTTGTCAGTTTCAAAGCCACGCACGTCTTTTTGAGAAATCCTTTTTAAAATGGTGATTTTAATTGCTTCTTGGGGATTCAGAAAGCTCACCCCACACACATACACACATACACACACACACAGCATTGAACACCACGCCTCTATTTTTAAAGTCTACCAGTGATTGTTTCTATATAAATGGTTACATCTAGAAATGGCTGAAAAAGCTCACCAACTTGTGCGTCGTTTTTTGAATCCCTGGAAAGGATGGGAAATGTTCAGGTTGTTGCTTATTTCATTTCATTCGACTAAAGGAAATGATTTAAGAATGTCAAGGGATGCACTTTGCCCAAATCCTCTAGATACCTCTCATTGCTCCTACGATGGTCGTGAGGAAAAGAAGGCACAAAAAGGCCAAGATCCCGCAACAGCAATGTAGGGTGCAATGATCTGCCCACATAGTTTGCTGTCCTCTATCCATCCCAGTATCTCATACCCAAGAAGGGGCTGCTTCTGCTGCTTTTGCATGAGGAGGTCACAGAGCGGGGAGGCAATCCTGCCAGTGAAGAGGCTCTGGTTTTTAAGGGGAAGGCAAAAAGGATGCATTCATGAAGATAGTGCAGAAGACATCATCAACTCTGCAATTGCCTCCCCTTTGTCCTGTCCGCACTGGTAAGCAGCAGTGACAGCTCCTCCCTGAACTTGAAAGCTGCTGGGTAGAGGCTTGGGGTCCACAGAGTAGTCGCTTGTAGCCCATCCAAAAATGAGCACATGGCATAAGCCACACTTATGTGACTAACAAGATTTGGGCTTTACACTGGCCACTATACATTTTGGTGTCTCAAATATTAGTCCGGTTTATGAGTATCTTTGACCTGCTGATTACCAAAATGGCACCGGTTTTCCTCTATTCACTCTAGTTTTTGAGATACAGAAAACATCTACCAGTCTTCACCTGCTTTCCCTGGTGGTGCAATGGATTAAACCCTTTTGCCAGCAAGACTGAAGACCGACAGGTCGGAGGTTCGAATACGGGGAGAGTGCGGATGAGCTGCCTCTGTCCGCTCCAGCTCCTCATGCGGGGACATGAGAGAAGTCTCCCACAAGGATGGTAAAACATCAAAACATCCGGCCATCCCCTGGGCAATGTCCTTCTCTCACAACAGAAGCAACTTACAGTTTCTCAAGTCACTCCTGACACACACAAAAAAAAGCTATCATGATTTTCCCATAGAAAATCATGATAGCCATAGCTAAGAAATTAGAGCTGATGTGGTCTATCCAATGCAATTTTCTGAACCCCAGGAACTGGCCTAAAAACTATCTCTCCATTCCAGCAGCCAATTTCTCCACTGCATAACTCCCTTTCTGGCTGCAGCATTTTTTTCTTGACACCAACATTTGTGCCAGCATGGTTCACTGGTGTAGTTCATCACGAAGATCCCAGTCGTAGAGTGCATCTACACTGTAGAATGAATGCAATTTGACACCACTTTATGGCTCAATGCTATGTAATCACAGGAGCTGACATTGTACAAAGTCTTTAGCCTTCTCTGCAAAAGAGTGCTGGTGCCTCACCAAGCCACAACTCCAAGAATTCCATAGTATCAATTCTACAATGTAGATGTATGGTTATCCTGAGTTGGGCCACCAGTCCTTCCACTGCTCTGACATTAGGCAGAACAAGACAGTTGCCTCAAGTGGCAGATGCCAGGCAGTGGTAGCAAGGTTTGAAGAACAACTATGAGCCAAGTGGTTTGCATTGCACACTTATGTTAGCCAACTGCCTTCAGTTATGTTGGAGGCTATTGCCCCATCAACAGATGGGGTAATACCACACTGTCGTGGATTCAACTACCAGTCTGATTTTGTACTGGTAATGAAGGTGGCACCATCTTTTTCTTCTCCTCATGTGTGGCTCCCGCTCTTTCTCAGGCAATGTTGTGGATTGATCCCAAGGCCTACTACAAGCTATCATCCTCTTTGGCATATTATTCAGTTGATGTAAGTACCCTGTGTTGGATTGGAGCCTGATGCTTCCAAGCAACCTGCATCTTTGATTCACTTCTGGAATCGGAACGATGTCAGGATTCTAGACCTGTTTTTTCTTATCAGTTGCTTGTTGAGCAATTTAAAGAAGAGACAACTGAGAAGAGTCAATGTCCATCTTTGGACATTTTGTAAAAGAAGGGGAAGGATTAAGTTCAAAGTTGCAGTGCGGAGGGGGAGTGCTGGCCTTTCCTCTATGTGCTATTTTCCTGATTGTCACCCAACCACACGCCTATCCTCCATACAGCTGTTTACCCAGCTGGACCAAACATACATTTCCCTAATATGTCCAATAGTAATGCTGCTTACTCTTTTCCTTGGCAAAATGGCTGTAGCAAACACAGAAACGCCTATCCCCTCCCAAATTTCCTGTCCTCGTCCACAAAAGCAGTGCGGAGACCACTAAAGAAGATATCTTGTCTTCTAAGACTCAATTGAATCTTTGACTCAATTAGACAGAATGACTACTTAATGTCTTTTTCTCCTCCCCTCAGCCATCCTTGTAAGATATTAATTTATGTACAGTTGCCCTGTCAGCAGATAAAACCTTTATTTTCCCAATTAAAGATTGGTAGAAAGGGTAGGCGAAAGAAGGAAGGAGAGGAGAGATAAGGATGGATGGAAGGAAGCAAGGAAACAAGGAAGGAAAATCAGTTGGGAAGCAATGCCAAACAGCTAGCAAACAAAACCCTGAAACAAAGAAATTAGGGCTGTAACACAGCTTAAAGGAAATATAGTCAATTAATCGTATGAGTTTTAATTGATTAATCAGCTACTTAATTAATTAGTTCTGCACATATTTGCATATAAGCAAGAACGATTGTCCTAAAGAAGAAAACCTATTCTATCCTTCCTCCTTTAAATGGCATTACATCTTAGAAGAGGCAACTTGTGATGAACAGGTAAATTCTGCAGTGTGGAAATTCATGATGCCAGTGTGGCTACTCACTTACACACTCACACACAATTTCCCCAGAGCAGATTTACTTTTTGGATTGACATTCCCAGCATCCCGTATAGGCAGTGGCTTTGCTAGCTGGGTGATTCTGGGATTCATGGCCCCCAAATGTAACATTCCCACCTGCCAGAAAGATCACATATTATCCATTCTACTACAATCAGCACGATTACAGTCATGTGCACAGTCACTTCAGACAAATTTCCATTGAACTCAATAGTGTTTCCTGCATGAGTTCAGCTAATAAAACCCATTGGCTTCAAGCCAATTGTGAGACGTGAAAAAGTAGAATAATTAAATCAATTGATTTTACATTAGTGTTGATTCACCATTAAGCCATTGATTGAATGGCTCTAGCATTATGTACTGGACTGGGTCAGAATCAGCCATGATGGAGGCCACATGGACCACTATGAACCCTTTGCATTCGTGTCTGGCCAACCCAAGATTAGATCAGTAAAATGGGCCCCTTTCTTCTTCCTGATCAGATAGGCACTCAATTCCAACTTCTGAAGATGAAACCACAATGCCCAGGCACTTTCAGGGAGCTCCTCTGCACTGATCAGCACAGGAAAAAGATGGTGATGGCCATATGCATTTGAACAATGGAGCAGCTAAAATAGACCTGATCCAACAGCCCAAATGGCCACAAACCCCATAGATACGCAAAGCAAGGGTTAAGAGCAAAAAACTCTAGATACTTGGATTGGGCTTTAGCACAGCAGGTTAATTGCCAGCTGCAGTAAATCTTGCCAACTGAAAGGTTGCCAATTTGAAGCCTGGGTCAGGATGAGCTCCTGGCTTTAGCCTAGTTTCTGCCTACCTAGCAGTTTGAAAACAAATGTGAGTAGATAAACAGGTACCATTTTAAAGCAGGGAATATTTTAAGGTACCCATAAGGAAATGCCAGAAAATGCCGATTCCATCAAGGAGGAAGTTTATGAACAAAGCTCTTGATCTTTAGAGCAAGACAGCAACCTCCACACCCCTCGTGGCTGGAACCGAGCACAGCCTCCAAGATGCCAAAGATGGGAAAGCCTATATATACCTCTATCTATGTACAGATGTCTGTCTTGTCAGCATATAATGGCACTGAATGTTTGCTGTACATGTGTTCTGTGATCTGCTCTGCATCCTCTTCGGGGTGAGACAGGTGGAATATAAATATTGCAAATAAAATAAATATTTACTACAAGTTCCAGTGTGTGTCTTCTAGGACCTAACACATTGGGATATACTCCATTTATATCAGTATGCACCCTGTATTATTATTTTTTTAGGACAGGATGCATATTGTATTCAGGTGGGATGCATGATGACCCCATCACACTGGATTCTTACAATTTGAACGTGTTGCACTTTGACTGATCACATCACAGAAGGCTGGATTCTCCCAATCCATTCAAATACCTCCCAATGTCACTTTATAAAAAAGATTGTAATATCGTGCAGTGGTGTAGTTTGGAAGTCTTGAACTACAGCTATCACAAGATTTTAACTATTTGATGATCACACATAAAAACAGCACCTCAGAACCGTTTTCAATTTTTAAAAAGACTTCTAGAATCCTGTGTGCAATTATGCCATTTCTGTAATGTTTTGAAGACAAATTCCAATGGATTACTGACGGAATGGGTCAAATGTCATATGATAGGACCCATTTGGAATCCCATTCAAAAAGTCTCAGAAAAAGAGGAGATCCCAATGTGATATGGTCTGAAGACTTCCAGCGTCAGAGTCAGGGTGAATACAGTTTTTTTTAATGTAAACAAGCCCTGGTTGGGACAAAAGGTAAGATTTTGGTTGCTGAGCTTTTAATATATGATCTGCTTCAGGCCACTGAAATTTAAACACAAATGCATTTTAAACAGAAATAAACACATCCTTGCAGAGGAGTGTTACAATTCAGACTGCAAGTGGGGAGTACCGATATCATCCAAGGAAAGGAAAGAAGTGTCCACCCCTAAAGGTAAAGTTAAAGGTTTCCCCTTGACATTAAGTCTAGTTGAGTCCAACTCAATTCTAAATCCATAGACAACTCCTAGGTCATGTGGCCAGCGTGATTGCATGACCGCTTAGTAATTATTCTAGCTTTTCGTTTTCCTATATCCAGGGTGGACAAAGCACAACCATCCAGCTTCATTGAATCACAGCCCTATACAGGATAGCAAAAAGTATGGGATTCTGAGAGCTGGAGTCTAACACCATCTGAAGGTTTTCACTTTGCTCATTCTGTTCCTGTATAGCAGCCACAAGAAAGGAAATACCTTAAAAGTTTTATTCACATCCTAAAACAAGGAGGTGTCTGGTGTTTTAGAAAATATTGTCAGGGTCACTGTTTGAAGAATGGGGATACAGCAATGTAGCTGCCCTGCTCTTTTTTTCTTTTTCTTTTTTGTCATCTACATATGTGCCTCTGCTAAGATGCTTTGGAATATTCATACTAAAAGCTGTTGGTTTTTTTAAAAAGAATCTGCTTCCCAGTTAACTTGGGGGGTGCATTTCTTCCTCATTCACAAGGTCTCTATTTGATTTATCGACTAAACGTTGCAGCCCTAATCAGAATATATTGTAGCACACTTTGGTACAACCAGGGAGGGAAAAATCTCCCCAGCAGAAAAGAGCAAATTTACCAATAAAATCAAGAAAGCTATATAAATGATACAGTCAAACAAATTAACCACAGTGATAAATACTGGTTTTCAAGAAGAGGAGGAGGAGGAGGAGGAGGAGGAGGAGGAGGAGGAGGCGGCGGCGGCCGAGGAGGAGGAAGAGGAGGAGGAGGAGGAGGAGCAGGAGGAGCAGGAGGGGAAGGAGGAAAGGAAAGGAAAGGAAAAAGTGGTGGCGAAAGTGAAGGGGAAGAAGAGAAGAGGAAAAGAAAAAGACAACCCAAAAGGATATATTTGCTTGTACTTCCAATAAACAGATTACATTAGGCCAATTCATTCTGATCCTTTAAAAGGAGCTGAGATTCCTGCCATAAGCAAAGAATGTCTACTGTGCTTTTACAAAGAGTATTTTCTTGGAAAAAAATTCCTTTCCCCCACCCCACCCTACAACATTGTCCATTTTTCCAAAGTAACGGCTTGTCGTCACAGGATAGGCTCAACCATCTTCGGAGTCTAGCCGTAGCTGGGTCAGTATTTACTAGTATCAGGCGACATAAGAAAAACATCTGGGTGGGTGCCATTACCTCTATGATTGTTAAGCAGCTGTTTGGAGGGTATAGCCCACACCCTTGTATCTGACAAAAACAGGATAACACAGCCAGATTTTTCTTGCACCTGATCACAATGATGTGAAGTTATTGTCTCTGAACCTCCAAAAGAATTGGAGAGTCTTATATTGCTGGCTGGTTTGACTGTTCCATTATCCATAAAACAGAAGGCATAAAGGTGAATACAAACGTAAGAAAGTTTTCTTCTTCTTCTCTCTTTATATATAATTTTATTTTGCATTTTTACATATTATCTTGCAGCCTTTCCATATAGTCTCTAAGGTCTTGGGAATCCTCTAAGTCCATATCTGGGCACACCCATTTGATGTTATCATCGCTGTCGAAAAGAATGGAGTTGGTATAAGGGCCACCATCCTCTGGCAAGATTGTGGTATAGGAGGTGAACTTGACCCTTTTCCGCTTGGGCCCAGGGGGATTGACAGGTTCGTTTGAGAGATCTTTCTCACAATCGTATTCAGGTGAGAAAAGGATCTGGTTGTGGAGGTTCTTCTGAGAGCTCCCATTGAGGAGAAAATTGCTTTCCTCAAATTGCATCCCTCTGTCGATCATGGTGGTGCATTCTTCTGATGGGAGTGAAATGTCCACTGTATTCTCCAAGAGTTCGGACTCATTGCCAAGCCACACCCAGTCATGGGAATGTGGCAGGTTGCTCTGTTCGCTAACAGCAAACCTCTTGTGCCGGTATTTACATGCAAACGCCACACAGTTGATTAAGAAGACCAAAATCGCTAGGCAGAAGACACATAGTAGTGCATACATGCCTATCTCAAGATCCGTTAGTCCTCTGGGATTCAAAAGGAGATCCCCTGGGAGATTCTGCCCAGGAATGTCGACCTGTATGGGAAAGGTTGTAAAAGAGGTTGGACTGTTTTGGAGTTGGCCATCTCCACGTGTGTTCTGATGAACAGAAGGTTTGGATGTTGTGCTTTGGTTGGTAGCCTCTTCATGATTCATGGAAACTCCATACTTATGCCAGTCTTGCCCTGACCTTTCTTGCTCCAATGACTTTTCTACGCCATTACCCCCTTGGTTTTTAAAATCAGCATCAGCATCTTCAACATCATTAGTGTCCCCTTTGTGATCTGACTCTTTCTGGCCAAACTTGACCTTGATGGTTCCTTTCCCAACAGCCAAGCTGCTCTTCCGCTTGGACTTCTGGCAAGGCTCACTGATCACCATTTCTATTTTAATCAGTGGCCCTTGACCTTCTCCTTCTGCCACTACCACGGGCCAGTCTTCCTCTTGACTTTCATGAATGGACACCACCATTTCATCCAATGATGTTATGGTGAGAGAGAAATCTTTCATGTCGTAGATGTCTAAGGGTGTCACAGTGCCATCGCTGAAGAGAATCCAAGCACTCACAACAGCTTCCTAAAAAGAGGAGGCAAGAGAATAGATGAGTACAAATATTAAATAAATGAATCAGGGATTATATAATTATTTAAAGAGCTGGAGAGGATTGCCAGCCCATATATGGTATATACCAGGGCTCCTTAAACTTTTCCACTTTTCCATTTTTACATGACCCCAGTGATGTAGGTATACAAAATAGGTATACAAATCAAAACATTTACTAATGACAAATCAACATTTGCAAGGCTTGCAAAACAGGCTGATTTTTCTTGTATATGAAGTACAGCTGAAGCATCTCCTGTAGAGTCCAGAGAATTGTATAAACGTCTAAAACAGCCACTAGGTGCCATTCAGAAAACTTTTACTGTTGCTAGATTTTTCAGGATCCCAAACATTGAGCTAAGGGTAACCTAGACTGAAAGAAATATGTGCCCAATGGGGACTTGAGTGCATAAGAGAAGCCCAGTCAATCTAGTCCAGCCTTCTGTTTCCACAGTGGCCAATTGGATGCTTCTGGGAAGTCCACAAGCAGGACATGAGTGCAATAGAACCCTTCCATTCATATTCTCCTACAATTAGGATAGAGAAGCATACTGCCTTTGATACTAAAGGCAACACACAGTTGTCAGATTTAGTAAACATTATACCAGGGACGAGGAACCTTGGACCTCAGCACCAAAATCAGACCTTCTAGGAGCCCAACCCACAGGGCTTCTTCAAATGGCTACACCACCTTTCTCACAAACCAATTCTTTGGTGTTATTCTAGCTTTTCAACAGATTCCCCTCCCCTTCCTCCTCCCCAAGTTGAAATGTTTCTCCTAAGCTTGGTTACTGCCTGGGAAAGCGAAACTATGCTTTTATTCTTGGTCCCAATCTTTTTACTTTTATCTTGGGAAAATGCCACTGAAATTTCACCCTACCTGATTTTCTCCTGTTGCTTTATAAAACCATCCAAACTGGTGGCCATCACCATATACTTTGGTAGCAAATTCCAAAGTTTATCTTTCCATTGTGTGAATAAGAACTTTCCTTTACCTCTCTCGAATTCACTATTCAGCTCCACACAGCCATATAACCCAGAATATCAAGGCAGATAATCCACAATATCTGCTTTGAACTGGATTATCTGAGTCCACACTGCCATATAATCCAGTTCAATATGGATTTTCTATAGCTGTGTGGAAGGGGCCTTTGTTGTTCTGTGCTGTTAAGAAATTTCTGACTTATGGCAACCCGAAAGCAATGCTGTAATCGGTTTGCTTGGCAAGATTTGTTTGGAAGCAGTCCTTGCCTTCCTCTATAGATGAGAGAGTGTCATCCAGTAGGTCTGGACAAGTCGGGATTTCAACTCAGATTTTCAGTGCTCAGCACTGACTCTCAGAATTCTTTGCCCTAACCAATAGAAGCTGCACATATTTTCTCCTAGATTCCTGTTCTTTAAGTTCAGCAGTCATTAACACTGTAACCTTTTCTCATAGAAGAATTGCTTCAAATGCCCAGATTATTTTGATAACTGGTTATGCATCTTTCCTAGCTCTACAAGGTCTTCCTTCCAATGACCAAGAACTTAAATGTAGGGCCCGTCCAGACAATACCTTTTTTGCAGTAACTCCCATAATAAAGAAGGGGCTGTCCAGACAACGGTCTGGACAGTCCCGAATTAATTTGCCACAAACCAGAAAAAAAACCTGGTTTATGGCAAATTAATTAGTTAGTGGATTTATTCCATGCCTTCCTGGAAGGCACGGGATAAACCCACTTCTTCCAGTGTCTGGACTGCAGTCCAGACACCATTCCTAGAGGTTTTCCGGACTAAATTATTCCGGGGGGGGGGGAGGAAAATTGCTCTTCCCACCCCCGGCTCTCCTGGCATGTCATTTCTACGTACTGGGAGAGCTGCTCCAAGACTGTAATGGAGGCCAGGTAAGCTTATTTTACTTTTCAAGGAGTCTGGGGGCTTTGGGGGAGGGGGAGGGCCTCCACATGTTCTCGTGGGCCTGTCCTGCAAGAGCATCTGAACACCCACCCCAGAAAGTGCACGCTTTCTGGGGTGTGTGTGAACAGCCCCCCAGGAAGATCCACATTTTTAAAACGCGGATTCTCCTGGGATAAAAGCCTATCTGGAACTGCCCTGAGTGGCTTGTACCTAGGTCTTTCCTGTCTAGTTCCAACTATGGAGACACTTTGCTCATTTTTATTCCGCTCTGCGATCTCTAATGCTGAAGCTTGATACCCTAATAAAACAATTCTCAAGGCATTCAGGTAAAAACAGGTAAAAGGAAGAACTTCTTGGCACAAATCATCATTACGTTTTGAAATGGGCAGCCAGACAGCTCTAAAAGAGGATTAGACAAATGCATCGAAGAGAAAAAGAGGTCCATGAATAGCTATTTAAATTCTAAACAGCCATATTGACTCCAATACAGCAGAAGTAAGTCTGAGATAGCCCTGGAGAAAAATAAAGCTAAAAGTAATTACATAATGCATTTTCACTGGGCACAGCTTTCCCTTTTTGTTTTGTTTTTTGAATTATTATTCCCCAAATGAATAATAGCATGGTAGTTCCAAACAGTAACTTTTCCAGGCTCTGACATTGGGAATTCAGGAGAAGTATGCCCTTTACATTAGTTTCACTTTAAGCTCAACTGGTTATCTTGCTGCCTTCCTTGCTCTCATGAAATTATATTACTCTATGCTTTAAAACTAATTTTGATACTGAGCCTTCTATCTTTACTCCACCTGTTTGGGTGAATGAAGGATATCTGATGCCGATGCTGTTGTGACAATCACTCTCTTGTTTCCTTTACTTGTCTGGAGTGAGAGGGACAAGCCTGCCACAAGCTGTACCCCAAGGTCTGTGATGGTCACTCGATCTTCCAGTACAATCACAGTCTTCTCAGCCAAAATGGAATCCGAGAGAGGAGAAAGAACCTTTACAAGGGGGGAAGAGAGGAGAGGATGAGCACAATGCAAAACCTTTGGAAAGTTACGGTAATTATTTGCTTTTATCTTTTGTTGTGTTCAAGAAGTAATTTATTTCTGTTAAGCATTACAGTGTTTAAAAGGGTAATGCACTACGGCCTGTGTCACTTTTTATGGCTTTCTTCTTTTCAGATCCCCCATGTTGTTTAACATCTACATGAAACCGCTGGGAGAGATCATCCAGAGTTTAGGAGTTTGGTGCCATCTCTACGCAGATGATGCCCAACTCCATGCCTCATTTCCACCTGATGCCAAGGATGCCGCCCCGACCCATTCTGTCAACTGTGATGGACTGGACGAGGATGAACAAACTGAAATTGAATCCAGACAAGATATAGGTACTACTGGTCAGTTGTACAGCGGATCAGGGTATTGGGCTGCAGTTTGTGCTAGATAGGGTCACACTCCCCCTGAAGGCGCAAGTTTGCAGTCTGGGGGTTCTTCTGGACTCAGCGCTGACCCTGGAGGCCCAGGTGTTGGCGGTGGCCAGGAGGGCTTTCTCACAGTTGAAGCTTGTGCACCAGCTGCGCCCATACTTTGAAAAGCACAACCTGACCATGGTAATACATGCCTTCGTCACATCTAGACTAGACTACTGTAATGCATTCTACATGGGTCTGCCCCAGAAGAGTGTTCGGAAACTTCAACTGATACAAACGTCAGCTGCTAGACTGCTCACGGGAGCAGGGTATAGGGAAAGGACTATCCTGCTCCTGAATCAGCTACACTGGCTTCTAGTTTGTTTCCAGGCACAATTCAAGGTCCTGGCTTCATCCTATAAAGCCCTGAACAGTTCAGGCCCAGCCTATTTGAGAGACCACATCTCCTCCTATCAGTCTGCATGAGCCCTGAGATCATCAGGAGAGGCCCTTCTCTCAGTCCCACCACCGTCACAAGATCAGTTGTGGGAATGAGAGAGAAGGCCTTCTTGGTGTTGGCCATGCAGCTCTGGAACTCCCTCCCCAAAGAAGTGCATTCAGCCCCCTCGTTACTGGCCTTTCGCTCCCAGGTTAAAATCTTTCTATGGAAGCAGACCTTCCCTGTCAACTCAGAATAAGCAGGCCATTTCGACCTGGCAAGGCTCATATGGCCAAAGATTTGGAGCTTTGAGATTTTTTAGTACAGTGTTTTAAGGACAACCTCAATGGCCTGTGGCCCAGAGATTTTTTAATGATAATGATCAATGTTGTTATTTATTATGCTTATTTTGTATGGTTTATGTGATTTTTTATGTTATTCTTTATTTGCTTGGGTTGGGGGATGATGCTGTGCTCTTGTATCATTGTGGTGGGACTGAGAGAAGGGCCTCTCCTGATGATCTCAGGGCTCATGCGGGCTGATAGGAGGAGACAGAGCAGAATATAAATAAAGTATTTTATTATTATTATTGAGTGACATACAAGGTTTCGAGGAGATCTTTGTCCAAAACATTTTGCTAAGACAATAAAAGAATGGAGGAAACTATAAAATACTGTTATACTTAGAATGGATGAGTTTGGGAAATTGAATCTTTTTTACATTAGAACAAAGAGCTAAAGACATGATTGATGAACTCATGAACAATTGAGATGTTTTTCTTTACTGCTTTTCCAGAGGGAGTTTAGCATGCAAGACCTTATATAAGGATGGTAATATTGTAATTGCTCAGATCTGACAATGAATGCCATGTAGAATTGTTCCTGCTGTATGTTAACAAATAAAGTACTATCTGCATGACAGTGAGACTTTTCTTTGCAACGAACGGTCAGACTGCCTATCTAGGAAGAAAAAGCAAACCATGATCATAACTACTAGTAAAGCTCTCCTCTTGTTTTGTACTCTCCATTTCAAGTGTCACATAGCTAGCATTTCTACTGAAATTTTCTTTGTGTTGCACCTGAACAGTTGTAATCCCTTGCTCACGGCCAACCAGAACACGGCCTTCTTGTAACTTGGCGACTTTCGATTCCTCCACTTTCATGAAATCAGCCACGAGATCTGTGATGTCAAACTGCCACTCGGAACCAAGCATGTAGGTCAGCTGGCCTCCAAAGTCCGATGATTCTGCAACAAATTGGGTCAGGACTCGCACCATGGCATGCTGGTACTGAAGGGTGCAGCCTCTGCCTTTCTTTTCATCATCTTCTTCCTCGTCACTGTCACGTGTCGGCCTGCAATACAAACATAACATATTTCCTTAAGTGCTTGGGAAGTGTGGCTTTCCACAGTGACTTGTCAGACAAGGAGCCCTATTCACTTCTCTTTGACATGGATCTTAAAATGTGTTCTTGAGAACATACACAGCAAGGAAGCAGGGGTGGCACTGGTCCACAAGAACCATCATTTTTCTATATCAGTGGTTCCGTGGACCACCAGTGGTCCGCAAGAACTAAAATATGGTCTGCGGCCTCACTGTTACTACAACATTGCAATGAGAGTGACTGGTCTCACAACACCCTCTTATAGTGCCGAGGCTTATTAAATATGGTTTTCTGTGGGCGGGTAGATGGCGACTACTGGATTGCACATGTTCTGTATCAGACAGTAAAGCTGATGTGGTCTATCCAATCCAATTTTCTGAATCAGCACCCCAAATAATCAAACCAAATCTAAAGTTGACCAAAAATTTGATTCATAACCCTTTTGGTACTAATGTTGGAGAATGATCCCTAGATAAAGTGGTCCCTAGTTAAAAAAAAAAGTTGGGAACCACTGTTCTATATGAACTATGAGGAATAGGTGAATCGATTGAGTGCAAAATGAGGGGACTGCCCCCAAATACAAACTGTGCCCAACCCCATCACATTTTCCTTTGGTTCTTTAGCACTACAGAGAATAAGACACTGAAAATCATTAACATCTAGGATTCTACTATTTGCTGTGTTTACATTTCTTGGGTTATTCTGCCTATCCCTTTCCTGTAGATGGCAAAACTGTATTTCCAAATGCTCAATTCATGTTTTAGGTCACTGCAGTGCTAGAAATGTGGGGACTGAAAGGAAATTCATTGTGGGGAGCAAGATTCCTATTTGGACACTCCTTCCCCCTTAAAACTATAAAACCAAAAATGCCTTTTTTGGTGGCTAAAATTAAAATCTAAGTAAATAAGAACTTTGATGGCCCCTCTTTATGTCTAAGTTCCATATCGCATATCACTAAGAACCTTATATCTGAATCAGGAAACACAAAATGCCTCAGAATTACCACTTGAAAAGGTGCAATATATCTCTGCAGGATAACTGTCAAAGGGATCCCCATTGTGATCATGTTAGGATAGTGTTGGAAGTGTTCCTTTAGCCTTCCATGATTCCTAGTTCTCCAGGAAATCCTCCCCACTTTGGTTACTGCAGATCCCTTCATTTTCAATAACCTTCCACTCCATCTACTAGCACAGAGAGACGTAATACTTCCCTTTTACCCTTGCATGCACAGATGAGCCATTTCAAAAGTTTCTTTATGCAAACAGATATTTCACCTCAAAACTCCCCAAATACCTCCTTCATTATATTAAAGCTTGCACAGTTGACTCTTTTCTCAACACAAGTGTCTCAATATGGAGAGACATTGTTTCATGTCAAAGAGGAGAAAATTGGTGAGCATTCTTTGCATCCCACCCCAGCAGTCACCAAATAGGTATTATCAATGGCTTTCATGGCCAGAATCACTGGGTTTTTGTAAGTTTTTTGGGCTGTATGGCCATGTTCCAGAAGCATTCTCTCCTGACGTTTCACCTCCATCTATGGCAAGCATCCTCAGAGGTCGTGAGGTCTGTTGGAAACTAAGAAAATGGGGTTTATATATCTGTGGAATGTCCAGGGTGGGAGAAAGAACACTTGTCTGTTGGAGCTAGATGTGAATGTTTCAATTGGCCACCTTGAATAGAAATTGATGGCCTAGCAGTTTTTTAGGTGTGACTTGTTACTGCCTGGGGGAATCCTTTGTTGAGGGGTGATTTGATTAGCTGTCCCTGATTGTTTCTTGTCTGGAGTTTCCCTGTGTTTGAGTGTTGTTCTAATGTGTTTGGGTATTGTCCTATTTACTGTTCTAATTTTAGAGTTTTTTTAATACTGGTATCCAGATTTTGTTCATTTTCATGATTCTTTCCTTTCTGTTGAAATTGTCCACATGCTTGTGGATTTCAATGGCTTCTCTGTGTTGTCTGATTGCCATTTAATGGCCTAGCAGTTTCAAGGTGTGGCCACCTTGAAATGCTAATCAAGGTAGCCAATTGAAACATTCGCACCTACCTCCAACAGACAAGAGTTCTTTCTCCCACCCTGGACATTCCAGAGATATATAAATCCCATTTTCCTAGTTTCCAATAGACCTCAAAACCTCTGGGGATGTCTGCCATAGATGTGGGAGATACGTCAGGAGAGAATGCTTCTGGAACATGGCCTGAAAAACTTACAGTCACAAAATAGTTGCAAATATTTTGTGGTGTCCCAAGAACTTTGTCAATAGTTAGGGATAGCTTTCAGGTGGCAGGAGAAAAACAGGCAGGCAGTGTTTAGGCCTTGCATATGTGGAGATCCAGCTTACAGAATGAGACTTTCTCGCCAATCCTCAGAAGAAATGAACCAAAGTCACTTCTTCCCACCTTGATCGCCACCCATCGAAGTAATGCATGAACTTCAGCGAGGGGATAATTATTTTCCGGCTGCATAATGAATCAAAATAAATGTTCTTGTTAAGAACATCGGTCTCTGCCTGTCTGGACTTCCCTTTCCCCCTCCCCTCTCTTATTTGACTTTAATTTAAATTTATTCCTTTCATTTGCTGCGATTGTAGGCTTTTCGACTGTTCATTTCATGAGTAGATTTTTCTATTAGCCGAGCACCGCTCAAGGGTTCCATGCAGTACATTAGTCATGAGCGCATACCTATCTAGAGAGCAGATTTCCATCTGGAAGAGTGGGCCGCTCATATTGATAGTGGCACATACCCAGATTAAATTATGATTCTCCTATCTATTGCAAATAAGGAGAAAAGTCCCCCGTCTAACTATGGATTCGTATGATAACCCATATTTCTCCAGGTAGATTCGTATTATCTCCCTCAATATATGGGATTCAAATCCTGAACTTCCTCATTACATTTTTAAATTAATTTTGCATTCAGTAAAAGCAACAGGAAAGCCCAAAAGTAACATCCATGGGAACAATCAATCACACAATGCCCAGTAATTTCTGTGTAACTTCCATAGGGATAACCCCTTTTGAAGCCCATTAAAATAAATACATGCCAGTACATTATGCTAAACCAAACCACTGGTCAATCCACTTCAATATACTAGTAGTCTGAAACAATAGATTCTCGGGGAATTTTCTTGGCCTGATTTGGATTGAAGTTTGGATAGTCACTTTTAAAAAGTACTTAGCAGCAGTAATAGTTCCAAGACTGGACCTACACTGCTATATAATGCAGTCTGAATCTGAATTATATGATCAGTATAGGCCCATATAATGCAGTTTAACTTTAACAAGATTCAAACTGAATTATATGGCATACTTAGTCAAAGCTAGTTCCAAGCAAGGACCAAGTAAAAACTAGATGTATGGAACATTTGCTTGACATTTCAGATTGTTGTTATTGTTGGTAGGTAACACCTGTTAGTTGAAGAGAATATGTGCCAGAACATCCAGTAAAGATTAATCATGGCAACCAGACTGATTACAGGAACATCTAGGAGTGAACATATCACACCCATACTAATGTCTGGTTGTCAATTTCTGGCCAAAGTACAAAGTCTTGGCTTTGACAAAGTTGTGTCCAATTCTGGGCACCGGAATTTAAGGAGGATGTTGAAAAGCTGAAATGTGTCCAGAGGAGGGCAACTAAAATGATCAAGGAGCTGGAGAACAAGCCCTATGAGGAGTGGCTTCAAGGGCTGAGAATGTTTAGTCTGCTGAAGAGAAGGCTGAGAGGAGACATGATGAGGGCCATGGATAAAGATGTGAGGGGAAGTCATAGGGAGGAGGGAGCAAGCTTGTTTACTGCTGCCATGGAGACTAGGATGCAATGGAACAATGGCTTCAAACTGGGGGGGGGGGGAGGAAACTCCACCTGAACATGAGGAAGAACTTCCTGATTGTGAGAGAGAGCTGTTCAACAGTGGAACTCTCTGCTCCAGAGTGTGGTGGATGCTCCTTCTTTGGAGGCTTCTAAACAGAGGCTGGATGGCCATCTGTTGAGGATGCTTTGAATGTGATTTTCCTGCTTCTTGGCAGAATGGGGTTGGATTGGATGGCCCACAAGGTCTCTTCCAATTTTATGATTCTAGGATCGCCTTCTCCCATATAATCCTCCCCATGTGACATTCAAGTTCTCTGGGGGATGTTTACTCCAGCCAGTCAGAAGCCAACGGGCAACTATCACTCAAAGGACCTTTTCATCGGCCGCCCAGAGAAGGTGACTGTGAAATGACCTGCTGGAAGAGATCCAATGGCTAAATGAGCTATCAGTATTCCAGCCACAATTGAAGACCTATCTCTTCCAGCAGGCCTACCCAGTCAATTTGAAACCGTGATTTTTAATGTTACATTTTATTAATATTAATCTCAATCTTTGTCAATCCACCAGAAGTTTCCTGGAAGATCTAGAAAATTTCCAGAGAAAGCATATCCTCCACTGATTCATATTTCCATTGTCTATGGTTCTTGGCCAATAATTCCCCAGTAAGCTTGATACCTTACTATGAAAATGACCACCATTCTTGTCTGATATGAACAGAGTATGGAAAAGCTACCTTTAAGGACCACAAGGACCCAGAATCCTCCAGCCAGCATAGCCACCGCTCAGAGCTGTAGTCTCGACAGGTCACTTTCCCTAAATTTGGATGTAGTTGTTTATTCATTCAGTCATTTCCTACTCTTCATGATCTCATGGACCAGCCCATGCCAGAGCTCAAGGTCAAACCAGTTACTTCAAGGATAACATCCGTCCATCTTGCCCTTGGTAGGCCCCTCTTCCTTTTTCCTTCAATTTTCCCCAGCACCATTATCTTCTCCAAGTTTTTTCTGTTTTCTCATTATGTGGCCAAACTACTTCATCTTTGCTACTAATGTCCTTCCCTCCAGTGAGCAGTTAGGCTTTATTTCCTGAAGTATGGACTGGTTGGATCTTCTTGCGGTCCAAGGCACTCTCAGAATTTTCCTCCAGCATCACAGTTCAAAAGCATCAATCTTCCTTCACTCAGCCTTCCTTACGGTCTAGCATCTATAGGTTACTACGGGAATACCATTGCTTTAACTATGTGGATCTTCTGGATATTTGGATATAATTGCTTTCAAATGAGTAGCACTTCTTAATTTAACCATGACAAATAAGCCAATAAATTAAATAAGTGGTAGCTGGTGGCTTCCATGACCATTCAGAATCTTGGACATCTACTTTCAGAAAAGAACCCAGAGTGGAAGCCACCAGCTGCCACGGAATCAACCACATGCAAATTGCACCATTTGTAGTTTTGTACCACTTTTGCAGCAAAATCTCCACCCCCTAGCCCTGGTTGAAGGTGAAACTTTGTTGGTTTTTTTAAAATATTTGTCCCGTCAACACCAAAGGCAGCATTTGCACTCCAGAATGCATGGTCGTTTCCCAACCTTATGCTCTAGCATTCTTTCTTTTCCTTCATCAACCACTCAAGTTCCTCTCTACAACTGTAGAGTTTGAAAACCAAATATTGACAGCTCTGTTGGAAGCAAGAACTTCTGCAGGCACATCCAAAAAAAAAAGTCAAAGTTGGCAGGCCACACCGTGGGCAAGCATGTGTAGCTTTCATAGCAAATGGCTTCCTCTTTCCCAATCCTTGCTGGGAGGCAGGGATGAATGGCTCAAGATGTGCCCAGTGGCCTGGTGGTAATCTGGATAGCTGCTGGTGAAGCTGTCTTGCCAGCTTGCAAACAGTGGAGCTGCTCAAGCCACGCTCTTTATTTCAGCTGGCCCAGTAAATATGAACTAGACACCTGGGAGGCTAAATTCTGAACACTCGGCATAACGACTCCGAGAGTCAGAACATTCACACTGGCTAATGACCACTGAAATGCATGATGTGCCACGTCTGTGATGGCAGGTTTATTCCTATAATGGATCTATCACTGCAAATGGCTCAGAAATCATTGATGCAACTCAGTTCCAAACAATATGGCGAATGAGGAGGCAACCAGATGAGGCACTTCTTCAGCAGAATGATGGGTTTGTTCTTTTGTTTTCTGCCAATGCAAACCATTCAAACACTTGACTTGAGTTCTGTTACCGCTTCACTCCTATTTTGTTGGTACATCCTTTGGATAGCTTCCACAGTTGGAGAGATCATGCCTAAATGCAAAACATCTACATTCCAACCCCCAGTTTGTGAAATAACACTGGCCAACACACAATTTGGTGCCTCAGATGTTAGCCCTATTTGTGGGTATATTTGACCTGCTGATTCCACAAATGGCACCAGTTTTCCCCTATTAGCTGTAGCTTTTGAGATACAGAACATATGCTATGTTCCAGTCCCCATCTGCTCCCCCATAGAAAATCATTACAACCATACCTAAGAAATGAATGGTGGTGTCTAGCTAATGCAGTTTTCTGAATCAGCACCCCAAATAATCCTAAAAACCAAGACACCAAGGTTTTTTTTTTTTGTTTTTTTGTTAGGCAGTGTAATGAGATAGCAAGTGAGATGAAGAGCTTTCTCTACTTGGAATCCTGGAGAGCGGCTACAGGCAGAGAAGATAACAGTAAGCTAAGTAGACAAACAGGATGACCTAGTATGAGACATGTACCTCTCTTCCTAGCTACTTTTCATCTCAGCACAAAATGGGGATTATTACTGAAATTCCTCCAAATTTTGCCCTAGATTTTTGACATCCATATCATCTGTTCTTGCTTCTGACTATGGAATGGAAAGTAGCACAGAAGTTAACTCACTGTGTTAATGCCCACTTTCTTGTCAAAGATGAGAATGTTTTTGGACTTTCTTTACATTCCTATTGTCTGATACTGTCTGCACATAGGCACACCAGTAAAACACCATAAGAAACTTATTGGTGTTCAATTTTATTTATTTATTTATACCATGTCAGAAGCAACTTGAGAAACTGCAAGTCGCTTCTGGTGTGAGAGAATTGGCCGTCTGCAGAGACGTTGACCAGGGGATGCACAGATATGTTACCATTCTGTGGGAGGCTTCTATCATGTCCTCTCATGGGAAGCTGGGGCTGACAGATGGAAACTCACCCCATCTCGCAGATTTGAACCACTGACTTAAGGCAAGCAGTTTGACCAGCGCAAGGGTTTAACCCATTGTGCCACCGTGGCTTCTGCTCAATTTTATTGAGATTGTTTTATTGTAGTGTTTAACTAATGCATACTGTCATACTATTGACAGGGGGGTAGATGCAAAGGATGTAAATCTTCCCATACATACAAATGAAGGATTTCAAATGCTTCCTTCCCAGTGGACCATTTTTATTGCACATTTCCCAACAATCTTCCACATTTTAGGATTTCCCACTATGGAAAGCATTTTGCAAGCAAGCCCACATTTTCACATACATAACCAACGTTTTTCATGGAAATGTCATCTTTGAAATGGTTTTAATGTACAGCAAGTCTTTTGTGCCAATTTTTCACAAAATTCTTGAGAGGCAAACAATGAAAATAAAAGCAGAGGGTGGAAAAGGCAAGTTCTTGTTACATCACAAGATAGGCTATGTCTGCCCCATTCACATGAATAACTTGAATGGCAGAATTAGTGCAATTTGATCTTTAGTTGTCATGGCTCAATGCTATGGAATTATGGGAATTGCAGTTTTAAAAGATCTGTTGAAGATCAGCCATCAGAGGTTGGTGGTTTAATTGAAGATTTAGAGAGGACTGTGAGCTTTCCTGTGGCACAAACTGACTGGCTCTCAAGTCTGGGAAATTCAAGTCTGGGAAATGATGGTTCTCTTTGCGAGAAAGCCGGCTTGGAGAGTGCATTCTTGGGAGTCAGAAATAGCAACAGGAGATAAGGAATCAAGTAAAGAGCTGAGTAATAAGGAGGGTTCCCAGGAGAACCCAGCTGTAGCTACAGAGATCAACAAAAGTATTTGTTTACAAATCAGAGCCTAAAATAGATTGCATCATTCAGAGATATTACATGGGAAAGTTATGAAGGAAATTCACAGGAAAGGGAATTATTTCATGGGTGTCTATTAAACAACAAGTTGTTTACTTTAAGGTCAGTTCAGGCAATGCTGCATAAGAGTGAGAAGCTATGCCTGAGTTCTCTTGATCCTGGTTCAACTCAAGCTTTGATTTTTTATTGAATGTACCCTGACATTTTTTATGTTCCTGTTCTTGTACTCCTGTTCAAGTTTTACTAGTTATACCTTCTTGATTGAGGACTTATACTGAATCTGTGATTCTTGGCTGTTCCTGCACTTTTTCACATCTGGAACTTTATGAGACATTTGGATTATTGTTAGATCATCACCTGTTACTAAATCTTTTTGGGATTATGTATCTTTCTTTCTTATTCCTGATTTTTAAATATGCTTTTTACGTGTTTTTACAATAAACTATTTGCTTATATTCCTGGACTCTTGTGTGGTGCAGTGGTCATAGCTATGCAACGTTCTCCGCCAAAAAGTGCTGGTGCCTCACAAAAAGAAAAATCCCATGATTCTACAGGATTTTAAGCCATGACAGTTAAAGAGATGTCAAATCGCATTAAATCTACAGTGCAGAGTCAGTCCTAAAGCAGAAATCGGACTTTTAGAGCTTAAGATATTTTGGACTTCAGTTCTCACAATCCCTTACCAACCTCAGACTTCTGAGAGCTGGAAGTCCAAAGCATCCATATCCTGACTAAGGATTATTCTACTCAAGAATCTTGCTTTCTTATTTGCAGCGTGTGAAAGAAATCCATCAATAAATATCACATTTAGGTCAATGTAAACAACACCCATGGGAGTGCATCACAAGTCAATGAAAGTGGAGCGAAAACTGTTCAAAACCCACATTTAAGTCCAAACTTAGCCATTATTTTGGCTGGTTATTTAGCACAGTGAAATACATACGCGCGCACACACACACACATACAGAAGCAGATTTGCATGTTAAATGCTCAGAACTATTGTACATGTCTTACTACCAGATACTATCAGTGTTTGTAAACCTCCCTCAGGCATGTGACTGGCCATTGTTCATAAATGCTGTTCTAGAGTAAATGTTGGTTTAACTCACCAGAATAATCCTTAAAGCATGAAATGAGTACCTTTTGTTGGAGGTGACAGGGATCCTCCAGCCTTTGATCTGGCTCAGTTCTGTGTCAGAGATCTCTATTTGAAGAGGAAGTCGCGGGACCCATACAGTGATTTCTAGCTGGGTGGTAAAATGCTGATATGTGAAGTTCACAATGGTGTCCACTTTGCTTTTCATTTCCTTCCCATTAACAAAGATGGCGTTGCAGTTGTCAGAAACCTTAGAGCGAATCAAATAAGAAAACTCCATGATTAATGATAAAGAGAATAGAGTTGGATACTAGTTACTACAAGCTTTCCAAAGAAATTGCTATTGGCTCCATCAACCAAGCAAGGCACTTACCATTTCCCCAATGTGATACACTCCGTTTCCTCCACAATTATGTCATTTTTTCCTCCAATTCTGAACACACTGTCCAACTAATCATCCTGCTACCACGAACCAGTCAACCAGGTAAGTATCCAGCTTTGTGATTTCCACACTGTGAGCACGTCTACACTGATCACTTAATGTAAAGGGTCGCTGATTCAGTTCCATGGCAGCCAAAGTATACACAGAACTGATTTAGGATAACACAAGGCAAGGCCACCTTGATGTGGCCTTGACACATTAGCCAAAGTCATTCTGCCTAAGAATTCTGACCAGTCTGCGACTTTGGGTCCATATAAACAGTTTGGCCAGGTCCAAGACTAAATCAGTTGCAACTATTTAATATAATAATAATAATAATAATAATAATAATAATAATTATTATTATTATTATTATTATTATTATTATACTTTATTTAAACCCCTCCCCCCACCAACTCCTGGAGGGACTCGGCCAGCTTGCAAAGCACTCCAAGGTGCAAACACACAAAATACAAAACTCAATAATGATAACACAAAAGCAATAACAACCAACATAAACATCATTAAAAATATTTATGAATTTATCAATTTATTCGCTTTACTTTTATCCCTTTTTTTCCTTTTTTTATAGGGAGAAATCCTCAATACGAATTCCAATAATGTTAGGCAAGCTTTCCTAGGAGGTATTGTATTTGCTCTGACCACAAATCATCCCTTCCAAAGTGAAGCTACAAGGAAATAATTATAAGTGGGTTGCATTCTAGTCTCGCAGGAGGCCACAAGGAGGGCAAAGAGGGAGGCTAAAATCCTTCACAAATTGATTGTGTATCCTAAAACATGCCCTGGAATCCTCTACAATCAGTTGAGTTTTTTCTGCAATTAGGACATTTTAGCACCCCATCCATCTACCATATCAGCACTGTGACAACACTACGCTGGGAATGTATGATCATTAATCACAACTGCATAATTGAATATCTTTGTTCAGAGCTAGCATCTTCCAGTGATACAATGGTACACTTTGAAGTGCAAGTGCTTAGCATGTCAGTCCCAGAGCCTATGACAAAACCAAAAATGCAGACAAGTGCTTCCAAATCAACAAAGCAATTAATCTCTTTGGGGAACAGACCCTTTGTAAAGTAGCTGGCCACTTCACTGACTGCCACTTAGTTTCCAAGCGAGATACACAGTATTGATTATTCCCTTTGAAGCCTAACATGGTTTGGGTTCCAGGTTACCTACAGAATTGTCTTCTCCCCTACAGTCCACCCCATTCACTTAGGTCCTCTGGGATACATTGTTAACCAGTGGACTTTTTCTTCAGCTGTCCAAAAATTGAGCAATGAACTGCCAGTAGAGATTTGATAGCCAGCTATGCTGCCTGCATTTAAAACAGCATTAAAAGCCAATGTTGTCTGGCATACCTATCTAGATGCTTTTTAAATTAAAAGTTTTAAAATATGTCATGACTGTTTTTGATTTATTCATTTATTTACGATATTTCTATCCCGCCTTTCTCAAGTCCAAAGGCGACTCAAGGTGGCTTACAAATTGGCAGCAATTCGATGCCATAACCATCCACAATATACAAGTAAAACATTCAAAACAGCATTATAAAATCAATATAAAATCAATATAATACAAAAACCATTAAAACATATAATAACCATATGTCTCGGCTTTATAGACTTTCTGTTTTTAAAACTCATGTTATATGCCTCTGTTGCATTTAAACCTATTGTTCCCCATGTTGATCACAATCACCACCACCATCACCTGTAATCTTCTATCATGGTCTATGTCTCATAACTTTACTTAGCTACATAGCAGAGTTGCTAATTTTGAAGATGTGTCTTGATGTGCATCCAACCCATTCCGCATCAGGTTAAATTTTGCACTGGATTCTTTTATACCTTGAGTCTGTTGTGCATGTGTTTTTGGGTCCCATTATGCACAACATTCATGTTTATGACCCTCAAGGGAATTCTGCCACCACCACCACCATTACCACCACCATTTGCCACTTCAAGAAAAAAACCACTACAGACTGATTTAGATTGTATCAGCAACAACTCATAGCAATTCATTAACAAGAACCCAACAGTATGCATCTGCTGGATTCTGCTGCTTCCCTACTGCATCTCCATGAATTCCACAGTTCTAGGAGATGCACAGGGGCCATGGGAGCACCACGGGTTAAAACTGCCCACTGCAGAAAATGTTGCCGACCGGAAGGTTGGCAGTTCAAAACCATGGGTTGGGGTGAGCTCCCACTGCCAGCCCTAGCTTCTGCTTACCTAGCAGTTTGAAAATAGTTCTGCGAATAGATCTAGAAGTACCACTTTGGAAGGGAGGTAAAAAAAAAAAAAGCCCGCTCATGAAGACATGCCGGCAATTCAGTCAGGAAGGTATCCATGGACCACAGGCTCCTCAGCATGGAAAATGGAACAACTGCACCTCCCCATGGCAGGAAGTTGAGCACAGCCTCCAGATGCAAGAGATAAAAAAGAGGGAAGCCTTTGCCTCTGTCTACATACTATCTGTCTTTGTTATTCAATGTATAACGGCACTGACTGTTTGCCATATATGTTTTCTGTAATCTGCTCTGAGTCCCCTCAGGGAGATAAAGTGGAATATAAATAAAGTATATGATATTATTATATTAGGAAACCTTCAAGGGTTGATTTTTGGTGGACAGAGGGCTGCAGCATACAGAGAAGGATGAAGTCATAATTCTGTTGGCACTAGAGATCCCAGTACACACTTGGATCTTTGACTAGGGTTGCACAAAAAACTCATTTCGCCTTCCAATGATTATGAAGACTGCAGCCAAGATCAGACTGGACAGACAAACCCAAGGGGAGTATCAGATGATGCCATTGCTCTGAATCAAAAAAGTATCAGCACTTGGATGTACCACCCATTGCCCATTTCTGGACTTCACTGGCCCATTGAGGGAACCTTTGCTGTCACCCAGCCAGACTCTTCTTATACCAACTGTGCTTGTATTTTGTTTTTAATTAAATGCAACTTTGCATTTCCCAGCTGAAAAAACAACAATCTCGTCACAATGTTTGGCAAAGTCTGACAGCTTTTCAAGAAGAAACACAATGATCCACAAGAATGTCATTGTTGACGCTGATCAAATATTATAGTTACAGCTTACTTAGAAGCTTACTTACTTAGAAAGTGACATACGCTAGCAGGGAATGGGGAAAGCACTCTCATAGTCTCATAAAGTAACATGATTTTTTTTTTCTCTTGAGCCTTTTATAAACAAGGACAGTAAAAACCTGGTGTCAGAAAATGATCCTTTGATGGAACTTGAGATGTAAAAATGTAATTGTGTGGAATCTCCAAGCCATAATTCCACTCATATAGCCTGGGGCTGTTGGGTCAAGGGAAAACGAGTCTCTCACCCGAAATTTATGTTTGTGAACCATATTCTTGGAGAGTTTGTGCTGATAGTAAACTGATGTTAGTTTTCATTTAGGAATAAATTGAGTTTGCCTTGTAATTGCCATTTTTGTCTGTACTTACTAGACAATCAATGATCAGAGTGTGTGTTTCCTCTTTTCCATCTACTGGCTGCAGTCCCAACAAATGACTTCAAGATACGTTACATTTGGTGGCAGTGCAGCAGCAGAAGAACTGCAACATTTTCATAGGGTCCCATCACACTTGAGAAAAAATCCACTTAAAATCCGGTTTCTGTCTTCTGCAGAATTCTGGGGTTTGTAGTTTAGGGAGATGGCTTTAACAGCCTCACTAAACCACAAACCCCAGAATTCTGCAGGAGGCAGAACCAGATTTTAAGTAGACTTTTCTCTAGTATGATGAAGTAGAAAGTCAAGTAACTGACTATACATCTGTTAGGACCACATTAGGTCATGCATACTACAAAATGCTGTATTTTGAAATGAGTAACAAGTTCCTGGAGAAAAAGTCAGACTTTTTTCCTAATGGAATAATGCCTGCAACTATATTCAGAGGCCAGACAATTAAATATGGGCTTCCAGATACTACATTACCAATTGGAGAATTGATAGGGGGAAAAGACCCACTTGTTCATCTTTCAACTCTGTCCTTATTGTTGTCATTATTGTTAGCATTGCTCCATCTTCAATGAATCATTCTAAATTTTGGAAACAGATCTCAGCATGCAACTAGCAAAATGGTAATCAAGGTAGCCAACTAAAACATCCACACCTAGCTCCAACAGTTAAGAGTTCTTTCTCCCACCCTGGCCATTCCACAGATATATAAACCCAATTTTCCTAGTTTCCAACAGACCTCACAACCTCTGAGAATGCCTGCCATAGATGTAGAAGAAACGTCAGGAGAGAATGCTTCTAGAAAATGGCCATACAGCCCGAAAAACCTACAACAACCCAGTGATTCCAGCCATGAAATCCTTCAACAATACATCTAACGAAAGTCTTCCATGTGCAAATGGTCCATCCTAGAACCATGCCAAAGATGGTACATGGTTGCTGCCACAGTGTGGTAGAGATTTGAACAAAGGATAAGGATTTATATTTTTGTAACCTTCCTGACTGACAGCATGTATGCTGTGACCCTCAGCCCAAAAACGAGTAACTGCCGACCATTTAGGAGGTACCAAATCCCACCAAACAGGTCAGAAATGCAAGCCCCACAAGCTGTCGCTGCATTCCTCTTTGACCAAATTGAGGAACAACTTTCGTGACTGATTTTTCAGTTTGTAGACTGCAAAGACAGCCACCTGCTACCAAACCAGAGAAGGTTAAGTATAGCTCAATTTCATGTGGCCTCCACATAAGCCAGAGAAAACAAACATGAGTAAATCAAACATCCACCTGGCACAAGTGTTGCATTGTGGTGACATT